TACAAGGTAATTTAAGGAATATATAGTTTCTCTATGTTTGGCATAATATAATTATCCTATTTCGCTGCTACTTTGCATTTACACTTTCTTGGATAGTTATATAAACATATGGCTAGTTTGGTGAGGGTAAATGTATAGTATTAAGACTTGAAATTTCAACTTAAGATCAAACTTTATTAAGCTGAGTAGCCCAACCCTATATATGTTGGCACTAAAGTCGATGTGATGTTTATCCCTTCAAATATATAGTACTATATTATTGTTTAATATTGTGTATCAAGGAATGTATGTAGGGCATCCTTCCAGATGGACGAGAAATAGCTGTGAAGAGACTTTCTAAAAGTTCGGCACAAGGTGCAAAAGAATTTAAGAATGAGATTGTAATCGTTGCCAAACTTCAACACAAGAATCTAACAAGATTACTAGGTTTTTGCTTGGAAGGAGAAGAGAAGATTCTCATATACGAATTTGTGCCAAATAAAAGTCTTGATTACTTTCTTTTCGGTAAGCATCAATGTGAATACTGCTGTTCATTGAATTTCCGTGCATTTGCAGCCATGAAACCTGCATCAGAATTTCAAAGTTATTCCCAATCAATGCTAATTATCTTAATTCATTTCCTTCGTGGATGTAAAGATCCCGAAAAACAACGGCTCTTGGATTGGTCAAGACGTTACAAGATCATTGAAGGAATAGCAAGGGGAATGCTTTACTTACACGAAGATTCTCTTCTTAAAATTGTACACCGTGATCTCAAAGCTAGCAATATACTCTTGGACAAAGACATGAACCCAAAAATATCGGATTTTGGCATGGCGAGGATTTTTGATGTTGAACAATCTCAAGAAAATACTATTAGGATTGCTGGCACATAGTAAGCTCTACTTTATATTATTTTCAATAACAACATTTATCTACCCTTATGATGTGGAATCGTATTTTTGTCTTGTAGTGGTTACATGGCTCCAGAGTACGCATTGCATGGTCAATTCTCAATAAAATCCGATGTCTTTAGTTTTGGAGTCCTAATTTTGGAAATCCTAAGCGGCAAGAAAAGTAACAGCTTTTACAAATCACATGGTACAAGAGACCTTATAAGCTATGTGAGTGCAAAGTTCAATTCCACTTGTAAATTAGGGGTACTCGAATGTTCATATTAAAACATATTATTAGGTAAATATGAATAAAACTTCTGAATTAATCAAATAGGTTTTAAGGCTAGTTTTGTTTGCACAGGCTTGGAAGCTTTGGAGAAATGGTGCACCCTTGGAATTGATGGATCCAACTTTGCAACAGTCTTATGTTTTGGATGAAGTCATTCGATGCATCCAAATTGGCTTACTGTGTGTCGAAGAAGATGTCAATAAAAGACCAAAAATGGCGTCAATACTTCTTATGCTTAAAAATTACTCGGACAATTTACCTATTCCTCGACGACCTGCATATTTTATTTCGAGTGGATCAGATAGCATGGCAAGAGAGACAGACCCCAATCAACCACAATCTATAAACGAAGCATCAATCAGCGAATTGTGTCCAAGATAGTTGATTTTGTGCCATTGACATATTGTTAAATGTGGAAATGTGACATCTCAAAAAGGCAAATCATTTATACAGTCTTATTTGTATACAAAACTAAAATTTGACTACAAAAATACCTCAATATCAGGTTGTGGTATAACAAATAAAAATTGTGGTGTCAATATAATCACCATTTATATATATGTACTTGTTGAATATTTATTGCATTAGTTTAGTCCCTTAAAAATAGGTCATGTACGATTTTAAAGGAATCATTTAAGGAATCTATCTTCTATGACAACGGATGCAATCTATGTTAAAGATTGGAGACGTAAATGCTCATGTTTAAATGTAAGGATCAAAATGTAACACGTGCTAAAGGTTAGATCGCTAGAGAGACTTATCACATCTTTTTTTATTTTAATTATTTAAATTTTAAAGTGCTCATTCTTTGAAGCACCCACATCAAAAGTGAGTGAACCATTCTTAGGAGAAAATTTTAAAGATCAATTAGTTTATTTTTTTTTAGAAAAAGAAGGTAGCATTTAAAGGAGAAGAGCATCAATTAATAATGGTTTGATTAATGTTATCTGCCAACAACTACCTTCAATATTTAGCCCCTGTCTGGACGTGATTGTGCCAATTTCACAACTGATTCTTACTTTAAATCATCAGGGCCCACGTTTGAAATTTGGTCCATAAGATTGGAGATTGTC